ATAAAATTTTATCATCACCATTTGTGGTGATCTCATTTCATTTCATTTCAGAGAGATGCGCAGTAAAACGAACATTCTCTTGGCGATGATGGCATGTGCTGATATGATGCTGTTGATTTTTATGATACCACACAGTTTGATGTTTCACAAAAATCTCACAAGATATCCCAAATTCCGTTCGTTCATCGTTCACGCAATGCCACATATTGCTGGCATATGTAATTTATGCTCATTCATTAGCGCCTGGTACGTGTGACACTTCTTCTTCACAATTTTATTCATATCGTTATGCATACGAAGCTGCTGAATCGTTTTTAGATGATGCCTTATCGTTAATGATGATGAACTAACTCAGTTCTATTGCTGATGATCATCAAGTAACATTCATTAGAAAGTCGTTGTCACATATTAATGACAAACACCGCACAATGTGCAACTTCGAATCGCATTCAATCAGCTCAGCTAACAATGACAGATGTGCTTCATTTACTAAGCATTCACACCATTCGAAGATACGCACAGACATTTTCGTAGCTAAATACATGCATGAAGAATCACCTCGAAGCGCTGCTAATTTAAATGCATCGATAATCCGTTTAACTCATTCTTCACAATACCACTCAATACTCTAAGAGCACGATGATGACGAATGATGTTGACACTGAAATACTTTACGTTTCGCTTTCGAATGCTTTTTCTTAGTGCAATCGTTTCATTAATTTCTTAATTAAGAAATCATTCCTCTTAGAAAGGAATATACTAGTGGACAGTTTTTCGAAAAATTTTCGCGAGCATTTAATGAATTCGTCTCGTTTCGGAATTAAGCAGAAATTACAGTCATTGCAGAAGATTTTCCTCTGTATATGTGATATTTGCGTGCAACAAATTCTTGTGACATTTGTGACAGCTTTCAAAGTTAAGTATCGAATTACCATGAAGAGACGTGCAAAAAACGAGCTCTAACAATTTTAACATATATGAAGTCACTTCTTAATTGAGCAAAATATTTGTGCTCGGAAAGAAAATCACTCAATCAAACAATCACCTTTCAACAAATCATTTAATCTATTTTAACAAATCAGCCAATTTGAGGACTAATTAAGTCACGCACGATCTCCCAAGAAATCTTTCCTAGATTCAAGTTTGCTGCATGAGTTGTTTGCAGGGAATTCGGAGAATACCCGTTAGATGCAACTTGCTCATTTCAGGCTTGTCGTAGTGGTTTGCGGTGAACGTGTAATGGCTGTAGTGTGCCCGCTAAAAGCTCGTTCTTTTTGGAGTACCAAAGCTCTAAAAGCTATCTGCGCATCAATTCTGATCTTCGCTGTAATTCTCTCGATGCATTCACACATTACACATCGTGTACAAGACGTTCTGTTGAATATTACTGTGGTGGACAAAGATGGCGTTCCAAGACAACAGCTGAGAAAGACACAACAAGCGGTTCTCAGAGAGGGCATGCAACAGTACTGGCATTTGGCCGTTTCACTCGATATTATATTCCTCGTTCTGCTACCTGTTTTTCTGGTGATTACCGCGAATATGCTTCTCGTAAGTGCTTCATTCCATTCATCATCGAATTATGACTTTTCTTTTCAAGCATTATCCACTAAGTGCACAACTTATCTATCCCATTGAGTGCACCAAACTGAACGAATACTTATGCATATCCAATAGCGCATCAGTACATTTACTATTCATTTCGTCATTTCAACTGAATTACAAATTAAATGAATCGAGCGAGCATTCAATCCTCTATAGGGACTTTTTGATTGCATTCTTTGTGCGCATCAATCAATCGATCCAAATTTCTGCCCTATCAAAAAGCATTCTCCAGATTGAATGTGAAAGATTTCATCGTTTCATTTAGCCTGTCACTTATGAGGACTTCAGAGCGAAAACTCAATTTGACAGATTGAAATGATCCCCAAATCCCAACTGGAAACGAATTCTTGGAAATTGATTGCGCAAAAAAAAGCACAATCACCCAAAA